TTCTCATGTATTTTTCTCACTAGTAACAGGTAAAATTTCTTTTGTGAAGTCAACAATAATATTTAATACAAGTATTTTTTACATTATCTCTGTGAAAAAAAATTGAATAAACTTCTACTACTGCTAAAAAATCAGGCCATTTGATGGAACGGGAGTGAAGATATTTAAATTTCTTATTGTAGCGCTACTTATGGAATGACCTGTAGAATTCTGTCAGGAGTAGCAGAAGACAAACTTCGAATGCGGATACTAGGATGATACAGTTCGAGCAGAAAGAAATTCTAATAGAGAACTCTAAAAAGTTAGCAGAATTTGAACCGATCATAACAGATTACATTATCTTTGATAACATAGAATTCTACAGAATTCTAGGCAGAATATAAGCTGATCAGAAAAAGATAGTACTATGTTCTGGTCGCTATCTCGTGTGAATTTTGATTTGCGGAACATAGAATTCTATTGAGGAATGAGAAGATAAAACAGAGTTCTAGTGAGTGATAACCAACTCGTTTTGGAAAAATAGACAAGTCCACAGAATTCTGAACTCTCCTTGATAAGCATTCTACTACTGCTGGTTTGTAGCTCTTTTCTTTCTTAATGTAAGATTTTTATTATAATAGAAATTGAACTTAATGGCAAGTCTATTACAAAAATGAGTTATCCCAGGTAAGCCATAATCAACAACATAGAGAAGCTGCTCAAATGGGATCTTCAGATTTTTCTTTAGAAATATTGTTTTTTTATGGTTGTTTTACCAGAAGCTCTAGAAATCAAGGATCTTGAATGTGGATATGGATCTTCTCTATTCATGAACCGACACACTCTCAGATAGAGAATAGAGAGTACAGTATAATGAAAATCAGGGAATGATAATAGGGACATCAGCCGTTACCTGGTTGATACGTCATTCAAATTTTGTCAAGAGTTTCAACAGTCACTTGCACAAGTAATGAAGTATATTGAAAATCTAGAAAAAAAAATATCATTTTTCTTAAACAAATATAAAGTGAAGTCAAAAATTCACTGGAAGACTTTAGTTTTGACATAATTTGATCCTATAACAAAAGAATTTTCTCTAACTACTGAGTTGTCTGTTTTTTCTGCGGATCTTTTGACAAATTACAGGTTATCATTACAAGGAGTGAAGAAATGAAGATGATTCCAGTCGTCATGATTTATATCAATCATGCTGAAGATCTTTTTTATATGCATTCAACTTTAGTAAATTTATCTTGATGGATTATAAAAAAATATCGAAAACACTTGTCATATTATGTAATATATGTAGACAGGATTTATCTATTTAAAGACATGATAAACATAAAATGAGTTTATTTTGATAGGATATTGTGAAAGAAGTTATTTCTAATCAATAAGTCATACTATTGATAGACTCTAGAAGTATAGTGTAACTTTTACTTAAATTGTGTTTAATCAGCGATAATTAGCTATAAGAGAATTTTTTATACTGATTCATTGATATTGATAGCATTTCAAATTTTCAACAATATCATAGATCGTGAATTTGTACTCCTATTTCAATGTCATCTTTATTAAAATATCCATCGACTATTTGCTATTACTATAAACGCTACTTTGTAAGTTATTTGATATTGAATATTACTTGTTATTTTCACACGGTGATGACATATGCATGAAATTCATTGCAGTGAAGAGTTTGAAGGCAAGGAAAATAAAAAGTATGGATTTTTCCTTCTCAGCGTGTCATTTTCATGAAAATTCAATAGAGCATTGGCTGAAACATGGTTTTGTATAACTAATCCTTAACTGACTCAAAAACGTCCGTAGTAGGACTTCTCCATAACTAATGATTACAAAATGTATGATTCATTTCCGTATGCATCTGTTTTTGCGCAATCACTTTGTAATATGTCACGTTTATATATTTATAAATGTTCATTTGAGTAGTCGCTACTAAATGCGTAGTCGAACAATATGAATGATGCTGGACATGATTGCCGTTATTATGATAATCGGTATTAGATACAAGCATAGGATTTCAACCAATAAAAGACAGCATCACTTGGTGAGACAATCAAATATCCAACAAAACCATGTATTGGCCACATCTAAGACGATCGATAACATTTGTATTGGAAAATGGCTTTATGGTAAACATTTTATTGTGGAGGCTTATGATTATGATTTGTTGGAATCTTTTGAAAATTTCTTCTACAATTATGGAGACTATTTTGTCTATAAACTGTACAATGCGATTCGGAAGAGTAATATTTACACTTTATCTAATATCTAATAAATCAAACAAATGTAGAAGGTTTTAATGAAAAATTCTATTCATATGGAAATTTTCGATCTTTTAACGATCATTTTCAATCAAATAACAAGACTTGAATATTATAAACACAATACAGAAGAAAATAAAGATAGAAAGAAAACATCATAAACATTAACTTCATAAAGACTCATATTATTACATGAACCAAATGATGTATGTGATAAATATAATGTAACAATGCTTTATTATTAGTTTCATTTTCCTGGTACTAATTTTAAACATGTTATTGTTGACTTCACTTATGTTGTTAATTTCATTCATGTTATTGATTTCATAATGTTGCTTCATTGAATTATTATTAATTGTACCATATTGTTACATTAAATTTATCACATACATCATTTGGTTCATGTAATAATAGGAATCTTTATGAAGTTAATGTTTATGATGTTTTCTTTCTATCTCTATTTTCTTCTGTATTGTGTTTGTAATATTTAAAAGTCTTGTTATTTGGTTGAAAATGATCGTTAAAAGATCGAAAATTTCCATATGAATAGAATTTTTCATTAAAAACTTCTACATTTTATTTGATTTATTAGATATCGCATTAAATCTCATGTATTATCGCTTTCATACACTTTATCTAATATTTTATTTTAAATGGTTCGCGGTTCAACGGACAACTACGTGAATTCGTTCAGATGTTATAGAAGGTAAATCGATTTTGACTGATTTGTAATATTAGAGAGCATTTCAATTATATTTTTTCCCATCGAGAATATCTTTCGAAAAATGCGCAGTTGGATGAATACACTTTCTTCTTAATTTAAAGGAATTCTACGTGCAATTTGAAAATTCTGGCCACAGGATCTAAAAATTACGGTTAACAGTTAGATTTAAGATAAATTGCATGAAATTTTCTCTAGTGGAATATAATTCAAATCTGATCATTTACTTTATATTGTGAAAGTTGGTAAGAATTACTGAAAATCATAACTAGTAAACATCTCATGTTATTTTGTTTTTATAGTTACTCTTGTCTATCGATAACACCAGTTAGGTGTGCCACTGAGGAAGGTCGTGATGAGTGTGTTCGGTTTTTTTTTCTTGACGAACGTTTTGGTACTGATGTTAATCGCAAGTTCAAGGATTATGGACAATTTAATGGTGAAAGTAGTTGTCGTTTGCAGAATCAAGCCGATTGTGACTGTGGATGCTGTGTCATTGGAACTGGTGGGACTGCACTATGGCTTGTATATTATAATGTACATCTTAATGTTGTACATACTCTAATCCAAACCAGTCACGCTGATATGAATGTTGTTGATGCAAAATGTTGGACGCCTTCTCCAGCTACTATTTCAAGAAAACATTTGGATGTTGTCAAGTATTATTTGGAAGAAACGGAAGCAATCATTCATGAAAGTTTCGATCTATCCCAAGCTCTCAAAATTAAGAGCAATGAAATTGTAGAGTATCTATTAAGAAAAGGATGTGAGCCAAATACTCGTCTCATCGATGAGGAATAAGAGGATCCTATGAGTAAGTAAGAGTAGTACAATGAATACTGTGTCTACATAGATTCGTCAGAAAATAATATTCTCTAAAATAAAGCAAGCAATTTAAAGAATCTTATGTACGATGAGAACGTTTCTTTAATGATGTACAGTCATGAACTTAAATTTTTCTATCAATAGATCAATGTTTTATGAGACAAAATGATAAACATAATTTCATGGACACATGTTAAGGCTGCCTATAATAATGTGTATGTCATTTTTCTGTATAGATTATAGTATTGAAATCCAAGGTTCAGAGAGTGTGGTTGTGGGTGTGGGTTTCTCTAGCAAGAGCACTCACACCCACCCCAAATACAATCTATAGATCGAAATAAAAAATCCGCTGTACCATATAAAAGGCATAAATCATTTCTTAAGTTAAATTAATTTAAAAATTATCGTAGATTTTCTATTTGCAAATGAAATAAATCGATGTTAGCGATTTGTTCATGAATTGTAGTCGAAAGAACAGAAAAATATCTTTTTTTTTGCATAATAATTGTAATAAACTGATTGGATTTAATTGAAATTAATCATTATGATCTTATGGATGAACTATAAATTTAAAAGAATGTTTAATTTAACTTCTTTTTATTAAAACTTAAGTAATCAAATGATAAAAACTATACATTAAAAGAGAGTAAATTGTCTACAAAACAAGTATTTGAGAAGATCAATAGATTTTATGTTTATAAAATCAACAATTTTACTAAACCATATATATGAATATACTTATAGAACTTGTTACTTTTCTAATTTATAGTAGAATTATTTTCTATAAATTCGTAAGTTTGTTTGAATAATATCCAAAAAACTAATACAGTAAGTACCGAAATGATTGAACAAGGTTTATTTTCATTTTTTTTGTCTCTTGTCATAAGCTCTAGAAAGAATCGAAATTTTGATTTGAATAAAACAAATGATCTCCAACAAAAATTCAAGAAAATAAATATTATTATCCGATTTTCAAAAAATACGAATTCCAGAAAATTAAAATCCTAATTTTTCAGTACCTAAAACACCTAAATATAATTTTGCTTAGACAATATAGAACTCTAAAATAAACAGTTCTCTAAACGTATTGGACAGTATTATATTATGAGAATTAAAATTAACCTGAAAAATAAAGATTCTAAAAACCATGAAAATAAAAGTTTTTTCGTTTTTCATTTGTCAAATATTGATTATTTTTTATCCAATTGGTAAACAGCATAAAACAGTTTCTGAGGATTACCAGAACCATCAACACCATAATACAATGTAGCACAAAGATGAAAACCAATTTTTCTAAGTTGCTGTTGCCATTCATCACATGTTCGATAATGAATTGATTTTGTATATTCAATAATATTTGATTTTTTCTGTGTCCAATTATCTTTATTATTTTCGTAGTCATCATTCAATCCATGCTGATTTTTGCTATTATAATTATTTGTAGATACAGCAAACTCTCCAACTCGTGCAATCATCATGATGGCATGAACAAAATTAAGATATTTGGCTGAAAGTGAATATTCTTTTTTGCAATCATGTTCACGCATAATAAGATAACCTCCTGGTCGAAGAATACGAACAAGTTCTGAAAGTGTTTTTTCAAGTTGAGATATATGATGAAATGTAACAAAAGAAGTAATAAGATCAACACGATTGGAAGCTAAAACAAAAAGAACAAAACTAAACAACTGAGAAAAATAAATAAGAAAAAAAAGAATATAGACTAACGAAGATCGATAGTTGATTGATTTTCATTCACTTTAACAAATGTAATTGCATTGTTTTGTCCTTCATATACATCACCTCCGAAAATATTTTCTTTAGTCAAACCTAAATAAACTCCAATTCCAGCTGTAATAGTTCCATCTCCACATCCTAAATCGAAGTAGGATTTTATCTTTTGTCGATCTATAATCTGTTGTAAACCGGTTGGTGTCACGTGGAATGGATGGTTCGATGATTTATAATTACTATTAAACTCAAAAATAACTTGTAGATCTTTGATACGACGATTGATTCGAGAATTATCTTCCCATTTATCAAGTGATGTTTGAGCAGCTAGAAAATAAAATTTTAGATTTGATAAATTCTTTTTCTTGTTTGATTTATTCTGTACCATGTCGTTGTTTTGTCTTCTCAATTAACTGATTGAGTAGATCGAGTTCATCTAAGCTTTCTATGGAATTCTTTAGCTGAGTGAAGATTCGATATATGTGAACTCTCTGTCCATAGATTCTACCGATATATGTTAATAAAGCATTTTGATAACTAGTACTCGACCATAATGATTGTTCAATTGACCATGAACACATCCAATTGGCAAATTCATCCTTCTTCTTACTACTAGTTAATGTTTGTGATAGTGACACTTGCCGTTGATTTCTGGACTTATTATGAAACAAGGAAGACTATAACGAAAAGTATTATGATTTGATATTTGGTTGAATAGAATTTGAGAATTTCTCTCTTCTGATCTGAATGACAAATACATACTAATGCCGAGTTAAAAATACGTCTTGCGCCTGGTATTTCTCGATTAATAGTGACTGTAAGCTTCATTTGATTTTCATTACTTCGATTGTCCAATTGATTACCTTGATTTGTTGTATTTGCTTGTTTATTGTTTGTATATTCTTAAAAAGAAGGATAAATTGATCGATGTATCAGTTGAAAAAGATTTATTTGAGTTCAATTTAATGTTCTGTTCGAATATCGTTAATCGAGAATAATACAGTACGCAAAAGAAAATGACTCTCCTGTTTCTAAAACTTTATTCTGTCGAAAATTTGCTTGATTATCTGCCTTTTTTTGTCTGACCGACATTTAAAAGTTTTTATTGATTTAAGGACTATCGCTTCATGCAGAAACTTAATTTTTGTTCTAGAATTATCGATCTGGATGAAATTCTCAGGGAAAACGTGTTTAGTTCTAAATAGTTCTGAGTAAAAACACTGGGCACGAAATATTGAGTTATTCAAGAGTTTTCCTATCATTAAAAGTCAAAGTGTGATAATGCGTGTATTTTCAATGTCTCCTTTAATTCTAATGACATAAGATTTGGGTGACTGGTAATGTGTTGCTCAAACTTGCTGCTAGAATTTAACAAAGTAAACTTCTTTTTCAAATTTGTTTGCTAATTTTTGTCTAGAAAATTTTTCAAAAGCCCAACAACTGAGGGGACCTTCAGTGTTAGTAAAAGACTTGATTTCTCTCAAAAATTAAATCGAAAATAAGAAATCTGATTCTTCTAAATTGTATCATTGAGTTTTTCTTCATTTCAAAGGTCTTATCCAGCTTTCTAGTATATAAAGTGATAAAGAAGTGATGGACATACAAACAAGTAAAAATTTTTTTAAATGCTACATACGTTTTGACTTTAGCAATCAAAATTTTCTTTTTCAGAAAGTGAGATAGAAAATATTGACAGTAGTTGGTTATAGGTTATCCAATAGGACTATTGGAATGAAGATTTTCATAGATTTCTACAGTATTTTTCTCAATATGAAAGCTGTTTATTAGCCGAAAAAGCATTTTTTGTTTTTTGGACAAGAGCTGAAGTTCACCTTAAATTTTAATATGTTTTCGTTTTACATTGAAATTGTAGCATCAAATATGGATAAAAGTCTTGCCATACNTATTTTTTCTACATACTTTGTACCAAAATTTTTCTTCTATCATTTAAAATAAAAAAGTTATGTGTGCTGCAACACAAAGATTCAATTTCTTGTGCCAAATCACCCCTTCTTACTCTATATTCAATAAAGAAATATTCTATATTCGTTCAATACCTCTATATCATTCGATTCTATTGATTTATACAAAAAAAAAAAAAGAAGGCAGATCAGACAAATACTGATATGGAATGTATAACAAAAATAAGAAAAAATAAGTTAACACATAATTGAATTCTATTATATTAAAGTGCAAATGATGAACATCCATTAACAGCTGCTCTTGATCGTGGTACATTATTCATTAAAATAGCACCATTAAATGCAACTGTTAAATCAGTTTCATCATTTTCATTTTCTTCTAGAATTCGATTTGATAAATGATTATTTGTCATATATGTATATAATTGTTGTGGTAATGAATGATACCATGAATAGTCCGTTGTTGATTGTTGATTATCTTCAATTGAATGATTTGTTGTATTATTATTTAATAAACTTTTTGTACTTGTTAAATCATCATAAACAATTGGTGTTGGTATTGGACGTGGTGGTGAACGACTTGAAAAATTATTATATAATAAATCACTTAATGCTAAACTATCACGATGACGTTGTATTGTTAATTCTTTTTTAATTGGTGTTAATAATGTTGATGTTGTATATAAACTTTGTTTTGATTCAGCTATATTTAAATTTGATGATAATGTATTTGTTGATTGTAATAATTTTGTTTTATTTAATTTCATACGATAACAACAACAACATGTTATTATTATACATATAAACATAAATAAAAGAAGTATAATTAAACAAATAATAATATAAAAAAACAAATGATTTGTACGTATAAATGTATATATATTTGATAGAAATTTAAATGGATTTATTAATGATAATGATGATGATGATGATAATGTTGTTAAATTATATTTATATATTTGACTTGATTCACTTATACCATTACGATTAACTGAATATATACGAATATAATATTCATTTGAATTATTATTATTATTTAATTGAAATCTATTTAAATTTAAATAATATGGAGATTTTAATGTTTGATCAATAAATTTCCATGTATGACCATAATCATTTGATAATTCAATAAGATAATATTCAGATTTTATTGATGATTTCCATATTAATTCATTATTTTTATTTATAAATATATCATAGGGTGGTAATGGTGAATTTTTTTGTGAACCTGTTTGAATAGATTTATATATACATGAACCACATTGAATTGTACAAGCACATAATGAAAATTCATAATATTGATATGGATCTAATTCATCAATACGTAATGATGTTATATTTGGAGATAAAAGTTGTTTAATAGTTTTAACACGTGTTGTTGATGTATTTATTAATGAAGAAAATGATAAACGATTATCATATGTTAAATCATATGAACGAAGAATACCATTTAAAGATTTTGGTGCTTGCCAATCGACTTGTAATGATGTAAATGTAACATATGAGAATATTAGTTGTTCAATTGGACCAGGTGCTAAAAGAAAAGAAAAACTTTCTTCTAGTTTTCATTGTATCGGATTGAATTTTTTTAAAAGTTCGAATATTCAATTTTTCTACAAAATTTCATCTAACAGAATTTTATAGAGATAAACACAAACTATTTCTAGGAATGATATTATAAATATGAAACACATCAATAACATTCAAAGTATTGTTTGAGGTGTGGACATGTGTCACTGTGGCTTTGTTGTACGGAAGTGTAGATGTGACTGTATTATGTGAGATTGAAGTGCATACACCCACATTCTCATTATCATTTGACTGATAGAATCATCTTCGTTTTGTTTGTAATTTCAAATTACACACAAGAAAAAAAAAACAATCCTTGCAAAAGTTAACATTTCGCAGTAACGACTAAAATTACATAATGATAATTGAAGGTAAGATTTCAGAAAATGTTTTCGAATGAGTTAATCAAGTGAACATGTTTATTTATTGAAAGAATGAAAAAAAAAAGTAGGTTATACAAATATATGATCAGTAAGTATTAATCATGTAATTCATCATGACTTTCTATGCAATAGCTAAAACATTGATCGATATATCTATGATTAAACAGTAAGATCAATGCGAAATGGTTTACCTCCGATTCGGTTCCTTTCTGTTTTCGTCAAAATCGATGATCTCTCACTTCGGTCCCTTCTCTGCTCGGTCCTTTTTAATTGATTCTCATTTCGATCCTACAATATAATTAGTTCTGGTGATTCATATTTTTATTTAACATAGGCAACAATAAAACTTGAATCAATGCTATCCAATAATGGAAAAATTGAGCCGGTATTCATATCAGGATTATCAACGTGAGTTTTTACAACTTCTTAGGAATATATTTGCGAGATTGGTAAAGTTTCTACACCTGCTCGTTTTTTCATACGAGACAAAACTTTTTCAACGATAATCTTTGCTGGTGACGAAGGAGTACAAGTATGTTCGCCAGCTTCGCTAATAA